TCTGTTCTTTCCTTCTTCTGCTTTGCCAGATGCACACCTTTTTTCCTTCCTCACCACTTCCCCTTGTGGCATGGTCACCCTCCCAGCACCCCTTGTCCAGCGGCAATTGATGTTTGAAACTCCGCCAAACGTTTTTTTTTTTTTTTTTTTTTTTTGTTTGTTTATTTGTTTGTTTGTTTGAAACTCCGCCAAACGTCACACAACAAAATCCTAAAAAATTCAGAGCTAGACTGAAGTGAATCCTGAACATAGCAAACAATCTAATCACAGACACGACCAATATACTATGCGATACAGGCCAGACACGTCCATCCGACAATGACTGATAATCTATACGATGGCCTGCAAATCCCACACAGCACGACAGCTGCAAATGACCGCCAAACAAGTCTGTTGGGTGATTTGAATGTTTTCCTTTCTCAATTTGGAATTGAAATTGAATTGAAATTGAGCTGCGGCAGAGATTAACGCAGATACCAGTGCCGGGATGGAGAAAGATTTTGGTGCACAAGAGGAAGATTTATCCTGTAATATTCGGACTATGTGGAACTGATAAGCATTGCCAATAGAGGGTCGTCAATTCAGAGGGCACTTCCTGGTGACGGAGGAAATGCGAGTATCTGGGGGCAATGTGAGGCGCTATTTTTTTTTTAATAATAGACATCAGCAACAAGAGCGCTTGACTAGTCATTTTGAGACATCGACCAAAATTATTTTCTATCCGTACAGAGAAACTCGACATAAGAATAGCCCCTGGCGAAGCCCAATCCACGATCGTGTGCACTATTACAATGGGCAAACGTCTCTGGCAAGAGTGCTAGACCGGTCATTTGAGATTTCTACCAAAATTCTTCAACCTACACAGAGAAGTTCGACATAAGAAAAAAAAAAAGCCACTGCCTTAAAGACCAATCTAGCAAAATTCATTCTAAATAAATTCAACAGATCTAAAAAATAATTTGCATCACCCCTGCCGAGTTATCAGATCTAAGTTCGTCGTCTAACAGACTTAATGTTCAACAGGGAAAAAGTTAAAAAGAACAACAATAAAATTCAGGAAGGAAAACGGAGTCTTGCTTCCTCACGAAAAGAAGGACAGAAAAGAAAAGAAAAAAAAAGATGCAAATAGAAGACTAAGATGACTCATGTACTTGCACCTGTTGATTTGCAAATTGCAACTCCACTGATAAAGGACACACGCAAAGGGGAGGGGGAAAAAAAAAAAGTAGGCAAAGAAGGAGAACTGCTCAGCACAAAGAAGATTACTCAAAACAGTGTAGTTCGATTACAGAGAGCTTCTTACCTATCCAACTTTTCTCTCATGGCAGGATCCATCCCATCATCATCATCGAATTCCGCTTCATCAAAAATGACATCGTCTTCTGGCGTTTCGCCCTCCCCAGCACCAGAAGGTAGCAGCGCCAGCGTGCCAGTCAAAGGATGTCTCACAGTGCGACCAGCCCCCGTTACTTGTTCAGCGAGGCAGCTGCTCCCTTCTTGTCCATTTTCAAGACTGTACATGCCGGATGCCGCTTCATGTCGGCTGCTACTCCTACAGCCATTGCTGCTTCCCTCATCACTTCTTGCGAAACCTTTCCTTTTCCCCTGTTTTACATAGCATAGCATAGTCGCCACACCTCTAGCGATTAGAACAAGGACAGGCGTTCCAACACTGCGGCGAGAAGCAACAAATGAGAATGAATGTTGTGCGCACGAGTGGGAAATATGTACCATGCATCATGTCCCTCTGCCCCACGTATGAGATGCTTTTTTCTTTTTTTCTTTCTTTTTTGAACAAAGTTGGACCATTTCTAAATTTAGGGGCCATGATGCTAATCTTGTGTGTATCGTTCCGATTTCGGCTGATGAGATTTCTCTACCCACTTCACACCATTACGAGAGATTCCCACCAGGACAGAGCTGCTGCTGAAGGTGTGCAAGAACGAAATCTCGCAGTTGGTAGCCAAGCACCTTGCCGTGTGCCACAGCCGATAGCCCGGCAACGGAGGAGAGAACAGGAGAAAAGAGGTTGTGTGTGCCACCCGAGCACTAAACAGTGAGAGCTGCCCAGTATACAGACTATTCTTTACAGTCCGTCTGCATTGATACCACACCGTAGGAACAGAGCACGCTTGCTACCCAAATGGGACGTGGCCCAGTGGGGCCAAGTGGGACATGGAGCAGGCAACTTCACGCCCAACTGCTAGCTTGTTCAACACCGAGCTTTCTCAACACAGATTAGACCGACAATGTCAGTGATCCTTCCCGTCCGTCGATAGCGATCCGGAATTCCATCTACACAAACAAAGCATACAGAAACTGCAATACAGTTCAGCCAGGGATGAAAAAAATACTGTCCAAAAAAAAAAACAAAAAAAAACTGCATCACATTGGCAACCTCCTCCCACCGAACGACCCTATAGCTCAATTGGTACACCCACGGACTTTTGAAACTTGAAAACAGACCTGAGTTCGAATCCAGACGGAACCACATGAACGAAAGCAGAAAAGTATGAATTACCTGGTGCCAGTCTGTTAAATGATGATATCTCAAGGTCGTTGCCTAGGCTACCAGCCGGG